CTGACCGGGGATATATCGCCCCGACCCGCTCGTAAATACCAAATAATGTCCGGCGATCCACTCGAACCAATGGAAATAATCTTTCGAACGAGAATCATCTGTGAAAACTCTGTTCGCGAGGATGGTGTTAACCTGAATCGAATTAGTAGAATCTTAACACCACGAGGACTGGTATCGTTTGTTCGAAAGTTAGCTGTGCTCGTGGATAGTGCTGCGGTAAGTCCTGATGCAACGCCTGCATTTCACCAACTTGGAAACAAGTGTTTGCACTTCGAGATAAGGAACAGATACTGCAACGATTCGTTGGAATATAAATTTCTGTCATTAGTTCCGCTGGGATGGAAACTTCTGCGCAGTTCTGCAGGTATTAAAACAGATTTAAATGGACTAGTATCAAGGGATCATATTTGGGATATACAGCATTGCTGATTCTAGATTATTTATACCTAAACTAACTTTCTACTTATGTACATATCGCTGATGTTACGCATAAATCCTTCACTAACCCAAAGTGTTCGGCAAACAATACAAAGTGTTCGGTAAACAAACAAATATCGAATAGAACGCGAGTAAACACCAGCGGCTACCACGAGTGCGTTTTAAACGCAATTTATTCCGTAAATTATTCAGCTGCTGAGAGGCGTGCAGTCTCCCGCGAGCACGAGGCGCGAGCGAGCGAACCGGCAAGAATTTTAGAAGCAAAACTCGCACTCGTTAATTGCCCGTAGAGAGTTTCCGCGAGCTTGCTTTGAATCCACTTCGAGACTTATTCAAATGCGGAGGAAACTGTTGAAACGCGGTCAAACAACAGTTAGCATAGAGAAGGAGAGCCCCGGCTGCCTGTCAGAAACAGTTACGAACGCGTTTAAGGAACTTAAATCGGGATGCTTGTCCCTGGACGGCTGGTGGCTCTTGCAAATTGAGGAATTTACAGAATCCGCGGAACTCTCCTATACCGCCCTCCGACCGGTAATAGAAAACCGCGACGCGATGAATTCAAACGAACGTGTTTAAACGAACACGCAATTAATTTCAGTTTACCAACTCGTCTCCAACAGTGCTCGACGTCGTTGTCGCGATTTCTGAAGACCTATGTCACTTCAAGAAAATCACGATCTTCTGTTATATAATTACAACATTCAGAAGACATGGATTCTGATCATGTAACATAATAGCAATGAAATTGCAAAAGTTCTACTGTATGCAACATTTTTAGATTACACCCTCTATAAAAGAGAGTAAATAAAGTATTCTATCCCTAACAGTATCAACATTAATGGTGCTCTAAAATAGACACATTTAGTCCTACTATAGAATGTTCTATCTTCAACTAATGTTATTTCATTCTGTCTAGTACCTGCAGTTATTAATGTCGTATGACAGTGTTCGGGCGCCATCGAAGAGCATTTTTCTACATCACGGTTCGATGAAAATTCAAGAGAACGAAGGAGAAATTTCCATATTGTCGCTCGAGGAGCACCAGCATCGAAGTCGAAAATGGCCATCGGTAACGGGGAACTGTTCACCCCAACGCGCGAGTAATGTAATATTAAACGGCAGGACGAGAAGCGCATACTACCAAAGACAAACATTACGACGAAGTGCACGCGCAGAATGTCGTAAGCTGCGAGTTAAAACGTGGCCCGGAACTTCGTAGACGAAGTTGCCGACTCTTCGTCGACTTTAAAACATTCACGTGAACGTTCGTGCAAAAGAGAAAAAAACCGAACAAGATGATGAAAAAGAAGTGAAAAACAACATCAAGATACTTCGGGGCTACCGGTATCCCAAGGTAAATAAAAAACGGCTGTGCTTAAAAGCTTTTAATATTCCTAAAAAATGTAAGAACCCAACAGTCTCGTGAATCGGATGATACGAATCTTCCGCGCATCAGGAAAGTTAGCTTCGTGAAAGCGTCGCGTTTACTCGGCCCGTCCGTGGTCCAGCCATCCTGGACTTCCGTTTATTTTCTGAAAAGACTAACTCCCCCCATAACGCGATAGCGCGTTTTTTTTCCTCGTCGGTTGCTAACGAGCCGGTTGCTTCGAGGGAGTCTCTAGCCTGGGGAAAATTTAAAAGGTAAACATTCGCCTTCCGCGCGCACGACGATGACTTACGCCAACAAATACACTGGATTAATAAAAGAGACGGGGAGAACATGATATTCCGTCTTTGCAGGTGCATCAACAAGAAAATGTAATCCACGGTAAAGTATCAAAATATAAAAGCAGATAGCTTATTCACAGTATTTCCCAAATATCGGTATAGAATATGAAAATTTGGTCGCAAAATTCATAAACCTCGGCAAAGTTTACAGGCCAATATTTACATAACCTTGCATTGGTGAATAGTGACGCTGCACCGGGCAAAATAAGCTAATTTGCGCGGTGAAAGCGTAGCAAGGTGGACCGCAGAGGGCGAAAAGAGGCGGGGGTGGAAAAAAGCTCGAAACAGGATAAAATCAGGGCTCGGACGCGTGCGGAGCTTGCGTAAATAACAAGGTAATTTATGATCGTTACACAATGATCGTCATAAATCGTATTTCTGCTCGGGCGACAGAACGTGCCGTTATGCGAGGAACTCCGGTGTGTTCCGCTCGCGCACCCTCTCACGTTTCCCATCCCCCCCAACCCCCCTCCGTGGACGTCGATATTTTACCGCGGGAACGCGATACATGGCCGGCATAATTTATCTGTTTTCAAATACGGCCGAGCCGATAAATTTGCATATTTTAATATAAATTCCTAAATGCCGGATCCGCGAAAGCCAGAGGACTGGCTGGGGACACCCTGGGATACGTCTTTATCGATCATCACTGAGCTCTCCCTCTTTCTCCCTCTCTTTTTATCTCCATCCCCTGCCGGTTCCATCGTCTTTGTCCGGCTCCGGAGGAGTCGTCCGGAATAGCGTGAACTCACGAAATCGGAAATAAACGGTCCGTTCTCCCTTTCATAAAATGGAAAATTTTCTCACCCCTCCGTTAATATCCGGGGGACCGGTGGCCGGCCCGAACAATGGAAGAATACTTGAAATGTCGATAAAACAATTCTAATCAAATCGCTGAGCGTTTCGATCGAACACGATTTTCCAATGCTATTTGTTTTAGCCGCACATGGCCATTAGTTTATGAAATATTTAATGTTCACTGTCGAGGAGCCTTCGAACTCTCAAATTTTGTATGTGATTCTCACAAACACGGTTGTCCACAATCTCCCACAGTTGGAATTGTGCTGTCAAAAAAATACTTTAAAAAAATGGACATATATAATGAATTGTACATATACAAATCACGACCTGCAGTTTCTGCAAAAAATCCATGGCAACTGCAGTACAAAAGTCGCCTAAATTGCGACTCCCCTGTCAGATGAGTGAGTAAGTACTAGATATATTAATATTTAACACGAAGAACTGTATCTATATCTTAATTTGTGTTACTGGGTGAAATTTTCCCAACTGTGTTTTGGTCCTATGCTTGTGAATATTTATCGTTCCCTCGGGAATCGTTCGTGAATAGGCGATTCCGTGATTTAAGAACACCTTGCACATGTACGTCCGAACTGGTCATACAAAGTTGGAAGTTGTTTGACACCTTAACTGTTCCGCGCAACCAAGAGATGCCGCGGGTGACAGTAAAGCTCCAGCACAATGTGAGCTTTTGCCGTGGCTGTCGGAAGTTTGCGTGCAGACCTCCTCTCGTCGACTGGCAAGTGTACACACGTTGAACGCATTACCTCGTCGGTTATAATGGCCTTCGCTACTGAAGATTTCACTTTCGTTCGGCTCTCTTCCGCCGGTCGATCAGACGCTCCGAACGTTCAACTCGTTGTACGGAGTCGTGACACTTGCATACGTTTAACTACGTACTCGTCAATCCTAACGGACGCCAAAATCATAAATTTCGCAACCACAACAGATTTAATACTTAAACAATTACTACGTTAATAGCACCTACGAAATATTGATGTAGCAAATATTACTGTTAATATTATTAATTCATATTATTGAATTGCTTATTAATTAATATTTAGTAATTGCTGTTTATTAATAGTAATGTTAGTTAATGTTCAATATTACTGCAGTTCCGTATTATTGATTACTTCATTATCAGTAACCAGAATTTTTCTAATCAAAATTTTTTAATTATCCAAAGTCTAATATTATTACACTCGAAGTGCGGTAATGTAGGCACGATGTAGTGAAAGAGATACCAAGTAAATAGATGTTAGTTCGCATAGGTGAATTAAATTTATACAACTCGCGCAACGCTCAATTAATATTTCACATCGTGTCCTCGATGTCGTGATAAATTGCAATCGAATTTCCGAGTGTCCCGTGTGTTTAATGAAATCGGGAACTGCGGTGCATCAGCGAGAGCATTACGTGAAATTATATCGCGGCGACGCGGTATAATTAGCGGAAAAATTTGCACTATTTGCGTGGGACAGTTAATGACAGGCTGGTTACGATAGCTGTTTATGGTTGATCACGGTTAATTACAGATAGTATCGGGGCGTGGAAGACTTATATGTAGTTAGTAACTGTTGCTCCTGCGGTTGGAATTAATATCGAATTTAGTCACGCAGGCCAATAATGGCATCAATCATTGAATCCTAAGGTGAGCCGCCCTTGTAATTATGCGGCGGTTATGCGCGGCCAATTTGTAGTTCGTAATCAATAGCACGTAACTACAATCAACGAGTCGCCTTATGCGAACCGCTACGTGTTCGATATCGACTTACATCTAGTAAAAGAAAAAGAATTCGGTCGAACGGATACTTACGTCTTGTTCGTTTTTACATTCGTGCAAGCAACGAATTACGTTACATCACAGAATCATTTCAAATAAAAAAAATATTAGCTACACACAATAGTAGAAAATAGTAAAAAATTAGTTACAAACAAAAATAGCGATGAGCGATAATTAAAGACAATATCAGTTTAGTAATCCGGAACTTACTATAAATTTTGCGCAGTTCGTAATCTCACTTCACCTTAACATTTCAACACAATTGCCCCACAGTTCGAACGGTGATCTGAGCGATCTAAAATTTCACGGGACAAACAAAAATTGACTTATCTATTCCATGCAAGAAAATTCTACGGATCGATAAGGAAGATTGTTTTACCTCGACTTGAGGTCGTGTGCCAAGTGCATAGATCACTGCGTCCGCGATGTCCTCGGGCTGAAGGGCATCCACATGCGCCAGGATCTTAGTTATCTCCTGGTTATGCACCGCCAAGTTCGTGGAAACGAGGCCGGGACAGATGCTCTGAAAAATATAAAAACAGGTAAATCGTACAAGCCATAAGAACGTTTCGTGACGACGCACGGTCGTATTATACAAAGCTGGAAAGCAGTCCCCCGAAATGAATGCAGGGCCGATTGGTACATTGTCCATAGGCCCATCGTCTGACACAATCATAGAGGCAGGCCACCCGTATTTTCATTATTGGCCGAAACGGTAACATACACTATCGGATCATATAGCATCGTGTAACGAAGAGAACGAACGGGACAGATCGAGACCGAGTGGAATAGAGCAGTAACAGAAGCGATCCGTTGAAATTGGAAGTACAGCAAAGTCGCGATAACTGCTTACTGGATAAATACCCGTTAGGAGTGTCCTCTGCCTATGTGTTCTATTTACAGACCCTACTCCTGTCACCTTCTGTAGCTAAGAAAGACGAGGAGATACTGCACTCTATTAGCTCTCGATACTTACCCATTTCTATAACTGCTCGCCTCTAGAGCAACGGTTCGCAACCTAAGGTATGTGCTTGGTGTTTCAGAGGTACGCGAAGAAAATTTAAATAATAGCAGTTATATAAACTACAACCATTTTTCTAATACTAAGGGATACAATTTAGGGGAACTGTCAAATAGTGGTACGCAAGTTAAAAAAAGTTTAGAAACCGCTGGTCTAGAGCCTCAAATGCGGGTAATTATCGCGAGTTTATTGTATATACCCTCTTGCCCTTGTGCCACTCGGCTGTACTTCTTTTCAGCTCTGTATAATACAGGCGAAATCACATAGACTTACAGTGACTCGGATCTGTGCCTTAACAGCCGCCAATTCACGGCGCACCGACTCCGTTAACGCGACAGATCCGTGTTTGCAGGCCGGATACAGATGCCAGCCATTGCAGCCATCGAGTTCCGAAAGGGTTCTAGACGGCATTTCGTGTCCCAGTATGCTGTCGTGTGAAACAGAACAAAAAAAAATAAAAGCTACTCCAACGGGCAGTCAGCGAACGGCCATTCGCGACGCGCTTTATTCGGTGAGACCTCGAGCGCAAACAATCGGAACGTTTGTTTCGGTCTTAAAAGCGTCAAACCTTTTATTTCCGTCGATACCGAAACGGGAATCGAACAAATCCTGTGTAACGTCGGAAGCAACGTTAACTTCGTACGTTCGCTTCACGCGATCAATTTTTTAATGGAATTATAAAGAGAATAATCTCCTGTCATTCTTGTGAATATTTAGGGGGCTGCATGTGTTTACAAATGTGTTGAAAATGTTTTACAATTCTTTACCGTGGTTATAACACATATTTCAAAATCGAAAAACCGCCAAACTATTAAAAATTAAGCGAATTGTAAAGCAGTAAAGTGGATGCTGCGTGTCCAGATGGTGAATATGATTTTAATTAATGACTCCTCTGAAGGAATGATCGTTGTAAATGAGTATTCTCTGACTCAAAATCTACAAGGTGGAACAAAAAAGACCGCTTACTTTAACCGTATTATACCCATGTACGTCCTTAATGTTTGTTATTATTACCTTGTACATATGTTGTCACACTGGAGTGAGCAACGCTTATATTCACCGACGTATCGGTCGAATTTAAGTAAAGTCGTGCAAATATTAATGAAAAATGTATCGTTAAATCTACAATCACTTATCGTGCAATTATCGTATAGTTTCGTTTGCGAATCGACCGATGTTCAGATGTGGGACTAGCGATTTAAATGGAGATTCAGAGCAATCGCGTGCAGGTGAAGGGGACCACTAGAAGTGACAAACAACACGATTGGAAGCCGCTGGCGGTCGACAATACCTGTTCATAACGAAAATATGCCCTTCGACATTTCGGCGAAGCATCATACGGGCTGCACGGCTCAGGAACATCGCCGCCCCGAGGACATGAATATTTAACATCCTTTCAAATGTCTTCGTGTCGCTGTCTGCAAGTGTAATTTATGGAACTGTTTAAAATGTGCCAACGAGCAGGAAAACGAGGTGCCGGATGGTAATACTATTGGCCGACTGGACGCGGTATGCAAGAGAAACAGCGTTCGCTTTCTATTCTTATGCGTTCGCGTTTTAAGCAGCTGCAACGTGAAGATCGACCATGATTGCGTTAACGAAATATTTATTTTTTATGCCTATTTTTCTTGCAAAAAATTTAGTATTAACACTGTACTAGTTACATAAGATACGCTATTCACTTAAAAAGTGACCGTATTTAGCGATACCCCTTCTATTAGAGTCGTTTTAGTCCTTCAGTGAACTGTTAATAACAAAATGAACAACCATAAGTGATTTTACTTAATCGTTTCAAAGCAATGTTTGGAAGGTTGAACAATCTTTTAGCTACGTTACTATTTTATACAAGAAGTAATGGATTAGCCATTGATAAACCTAATACGTATGCAGTTTGAAATTGCCAATAGAAATGTAAATACAGACTTGAGAATCAGTTGAATATAGTAATTAAACCGCCCAAAGAGTTTATTATCAGTATACGGAATCGTTTGCTGCAATATACCTACGATTATCGATAAAATTATATGTTACCAATAAGACGCGCGTAGAGAGTAATGCCGGCGTTGTTCACCATAATGTCCAATCCGCCAGCAACCGACTCCACGAAGGAGAAAGCGCGATCCACGTCCTCCTCCTTGGTCACATCGCATCGTAGCGTGTAATACGTTCCTCTGTTCTCGAGTTCCGCCCATTTACTAGCGGCCTGTTCTAATTGCTCATCTTGTATGTCCAGAGCGACCACATTCACTTTTTTTTTCAGAAGGGCAGTTGTAATAGCTTTCCCGATGCCGGATGCTGCGCCAGTAACGATCGCGGTTTTACCAGCCCACCGTTCCATGATTCTCTGTTTTTACATTCGACGAGTTATGTAAGACACGTACGGACCTCGCCAGATTATTCTATCGCTGTTCAAAAACTCGTCTACGACCAGTTCAGTCGTTCGGAATATATCTACTTTCATGCCCATAAAACGCCATTTGTCTATTGAAACGTTTTAGTATTTCTTAAACAGGTCAAACTGTTACCGAAAGTTCGCTATGCTTTTTGCATTCAATGATGGAGCTGATATTTTTTTAATAAAAATTGTACCAACCAAAAGTTCCTATAATACAGTGTGTATCTTTATGGACAAACTGGGGATTCTATGAAATTATAATACATACGAATGTACAAAATACAGTGAAAGAGAAAACTGAAGAGAATTCAATGAAAGAGACTTACAAAGTATTACAGGTATGAGACCGAATGTCCAATAAATCAAGACTTACCGAGAGATCAGAATAGTCTGTCAGTCAAATATGGAAAATGTACAGTTCAGCTAGTATTGTTGGAGATTTTTTTAGAGCACGAGACACTGGCCAACCGCGATGTTACACTGCTCACTGGCTTTTATTCACTGGCCGTGAACGTCGATCGGGGTGAATCGCGACTGAATTACGCAACCGTTTATCGTCAATTACACTCTGTGCAGATATGGTACGTAGAGGGGGAAGCTTAATATCTCTACCAGATTACATATCACATCTCTATCGGAACAATCTATATGAAGAAAGTGAACAGGAATTTTTTGAGGTCACGCGCATCAGATTGTGTACGCTACTAATAGCATTATCGAACGATTATGACCTATGGGTGAGCTTGGGAATAAAATTGTGAAAACGAAGTTATTAATTATAAATCCTAGAAAGCAATCAATGAGCGACAAGGCATCCGCCTTTAATTCCGTTTAAAATACGCTGACGGTAACGAATACGATGCAACACAATTATTCACAGGTATGTGAGAAAAAGGCAGGTTGGATCGTAGAGATTGATAAAGTGCGATTTATCTTTTCTCTGTTACAGTCGGAAGCGACAACAGTGCATGTCCGTGTACCCAGCGTCGTGGCGAAGCATATCCCGTGTGACAAAGCGGACAAAACGCTTTTCTCAGCGAACGTGTCCGTGTACGTATCCGGGGCGATGGAGACGAACAGTCGCGTCATGGAGTAGGACAAAAATCCCACGGATTACGTTCATCCGTTTACCCACTGTGATTCCATCCGCCGGTTTTGTCGCGGCTTTTACTTGTTTTAAGTGAAGCTCGACATGACCCGATGCAATTTCCCCCCCTCGTATCCCAGTCACATCGGTTCCCTACGTTGCCAGCCAATCTCTCCTCGGATGCGGTAGCCGGAATATCACAGGACGCGTCGAAATCCCGGGGTATCCGCCGGATGGCTTTCGGATATGTATCGCGTCCCTTAAAGAAATCTTGACGCGCGCGTAGGCGATTCCTAGTTCCGTCGATTCCAAGGAGAACGCGTTGGAGGAGACAGTTAACGCTGAAATTTCGAAACGAGACCATACGAACTTCTTTGAACGAATGGTAATCTTGTATTTAATAGAAACAAAATTTTATGTCAGGGGTTTGATGAAGAATTTAGGTAGAACAGATCGTCTTTCACCAGCTAACACATTCACGGTCGTGTCCTCCACAGATGGGAGTGTAGAAATACAAATATTTACTGGTAACACGTATTGGTTTAGGACCACATTAGCTCACACGTATGTCTTTTAATTACTTAACGAAGTAAGAGCGTATGTACAACATGGCAACAGGAGATAAGATAGGAGCATGGTATTCACAAGTTACTCGCTCGCGATACTCTCAAGAAGCCTGATTCGCCACGATACCAGTCCCTGTACGATTTCTACACGCCGAAAACAGCACGTGCAAGCAACACGTTGGACTACCATCGCAGTCTCATACATTCGACGAACAGATTCAAAGCAACTCCATTCAGTCCTCTATCATCGTCACTGTGTTATTCCGCTAGCTAGCACCAAATCCTCAACTTCATTCTCCATCGAGCACCGTATCGAACCCGTTCATCCAGAGAAATTCATAAGCCATTTCGCGACTGCGTGCTCGTATTCTGGTATACACACGAGCGAACAAAAGAACCCCGACCAGCCATCGAATATCATCTGGTCGTATCGGTTCGAGTGAATTTATCCCTTTCCCCAACCTGGGGACGGTGCCTGTCGCGAGCGCGCTTGGCTATCTAGGATCTGTTACGCCGGCAATCTCGAATCTCGCGACTCGAAATAGGAAGGAGGCCGCTTCCTTTACGGATAAACGATACCCACTCGCTTTCCAGACGCAATAACAACCGGGGCGTGTGTATCGATCCTCGTTCCGCCGCGCGGCAGCTGGTGCCGGGTCCGGCGCGGCGGTCCCGGAGAACCCTGCAAGCATTATTCTCGTTCGCGCGGCACGACGAGGAAATCAACAAGAAAACCAGCGGAAGCTTTATCCGTTTCCTGGTGCTGAGCACCAGATGCTCCTGCAGCACGGTCATTTCTCAACGTTCCCGTGATTATACGACCGTCTACCCCTCGTACCCACCTACCCTCTTCGCCGTTACTTACCGCCCATGATTCCCCCTTGTATTTTTCATAGACGCCTCCGCCACCCCCTCCCACCCCCTGGTCGCCAACACCCCTTGGTTCACAGCCGGGACGTTTGATGCCCCGACGCGAAAGACCGTTCGAACCGCCTTTACGGTGAAGGAAGGACCTGAAATCCTTTAAAGAGACGCTTCCCGGTGATTTTTTTCGACGGACCGCGACGGTTTATCGCTACAGGTTCGCTTCGTCGTCGCGAAACGATGGAGCAATTACTTTGTAAGGTACAGTGTTTTATTCGACGGTTTCGAGGAATGAAGATGGAGAGAATAGTATGATTTTAGTTGATGTTCGTTGTGGATTCTGTGCACGGAGGATTCTTTGGGTTTGTGGAACATATTGGCGAATGTAGATTTTGAGGTTTGATGGTGCCTGGTAGAAAGCTACGATTCTGGATAATGTGTCGATGAGGTTTGACAAGTATATTTATGGAAGAATTAGTATAGAAATATACAGTGTGAATTTACGGAGATTCGAGGACCGAAATATTTCTGTCAGAATTACTGAAAGTCAATCACATTTCTGATGCCACTCGATTAATTGACGGTGTTCACTGTGTACACGCCTGTAATGAAACGTGCTGGATGTTATACCTTGTTCTGATTAATCCGAAATTTCTCCAATTAATACTCGATGTCGTCCATGCACTACATATTAAAATATTCAATCATACGTAAAATAGTCTGTACAAGCGAGTCGTGCATGTAATTTGGATGCTGATCATCCATATGAATGATCTCAATTCTGCTTTCGTGAAAATCGGAAACAGTATGGACCTTCGATAACGAAAATACTCTCGATACCTACCAGTGTTTATACAAAATTATGATACCTATGGATTTTCTACCTGAATTCGTTAGTACTTTTTCTTTTTTCAATATCTGTGAACGTTTGTAATTTTTTCCATCGTCGGATAGGATACTTCCAATCGATTCAACTTCCGAATATAACGACAGAAACACGCGGAGTCGTTAGTCGGTTGTTCGCGATTAAGGTCGGAAAATTGCGTTATTGCGCGAGATAACACGCGATAACGGTATTCACCGGCGAGAAAATTACCGGGGACGTACACGACCGCTGTTTTAGGGGGAACGCAAAAGGCGTCGCTTCCTTTGCTTCTCTCGTTAGCCGTTTCTTCTCCTGCCGGGGCGCATGAAAATGACGAGTTTCCTGCGAGTGGTGGGGGGTGGAACAAAGGCGCTTCGGATATTGCTTCCTATTTTTCCTTTACGTGGCCAGCCAGTCGAGTAAATGAGATTTAACGAGGGAAATCCCGCGCGGTGTGGCTACTCACGGAAAATTCTGACCCGACTTAAACGATTATGAATACATATACGACCGGTTAAACGTTCTCAAGCTGTTATAACACAGATTATACGGTACTCGTGAAAACTCGTAAACCAAGAGTGGAACGAGAAAACTGAAAATTGAGCCCGTAAACTGTTAATATATCCGTCCGATTCCGGTCGAGAGTGTTGGAAGAGGAACGGGAAGGAAGAGGAAGAAGGATTTATAAGGTAGAAGAATGAAACATTTCCGAAGGATAATATATTTCACGGAGGAGGAACGACGACGCGTCTCCGCGTAAAATTTTTAACGAGCTTTTCCGTCTCATCCGCGACAGACCGCCCTTAAATTATTCCATCTCCCGTAATTAATCCAACGGCAACGAAAACGATCCCCGTAACGTTGAAAAATATCGCCGCCACGGACGACGCGTCAGTAATTCCGCGTGTTTTGATATATGGAAAAGAAAGAGGAAGGAGGGCCAAAGGGAGGGGGCGCGTGCCGGTGTCGGTCCGTCGCCGGTAACAAAACGATCCCCGTAATCACAGCAGAGAGAGCGTTGAGAAATGATCGAGTGGCGAAAGCATCTGGTGCACCCCCAGGATCTAGGGGGAAAGGGAGGCAAACAAGTAAAGTCTCGGGCGTGCTCGGTTTTCTTGCTGATTTCCTCGTCGTTTACCGCGAAACGAGAACAATATTCTCTCTCGTTTGCTCGTTCCACCTTTCTCGCGCACGCACGCGCAACTGTTGCCGCGGTATTTGAATTTCTCCTGTACACGCGAGTGGCGAGATCGTTGAAATTTTACGAGGTACAGAACCTCGCGGCATTATTCCGACGGCGAAACAGAATTTCAATATTAAATACATGCAAAGAAATGTACACGCTCGATAAACAGGATCCGCATCTCTGCTGAACTTTATTTACCACTCCCGGGGGCTGGCGAATGAATTTCTAATGAACAATAAGAACGGTGGTGGAATGTTTTGTGTACCGTGGATCATTGGTAAACAATCACGGTGAAATAATTGAAAAGCCCAGAGGAACAATCGATGTTAATTATCCAGATATTTCAAATACTATACGACAAAAATGAGGATTATCGTGACAATATTGAGGAGAAATCCCTCGATAAACATTAAATAAATAACAACAATAAAAACGCTGAAACACGACGAAAGTTTACCTTTATCGCTTCCATTGGTCTCTCTAAAAAGTTCCCGTAATCACGGTAATAAACGCGACGATCCCGCAGAACTGTCTCCGAAGCGTGTAAAACTTTTCCATGGGAACGTTTCCCTAGGTAGAAGCCAGGATTTTATCGAGATGGTATTCCATGAAATTTCTTCCAGACGTATAACGATCGCCGTGGGCGATACTCCCGATGGCATCTTCAGGGGCGTCATGAATTAGCTACATTCTATGAGATATCGCGCGGAGGCTGGCCAGGCTCCATAAAGGAATCGTGCGATCAGGAATGGAATCGAGAGATTGGGGAAGACATCGGGGTGATTCGCTGTAACAGCTGGAAATACGTTTCAAATCGAAGTGGCATCGTTAAAATTCAATGATCCCCATCGAACTTAACATTAGAACTACCAAAGAGGTCAAAACGAGTGGTTAATACAGTCTTGTAACG